GTGTGTAAAAATGTACGTAGGCTTAGAAGAGAGAGAAAAAGAAAATATATAGTTATATAAAGAAATAGATAGATTTTAAAAATAAAGTCTTTAAAGAAACAGTAAAATTAATGTAAAAAATAAGCCACGTAAAGATGAATATTACACAGAGAATCTGGATTGTGTTGTCTTTGGGATTTTTAACTGCAGAAAAACATTTGATTGTAAAAGATGTTGAGTTAAACCAATATGTATATATTAACGATACCTTGACTTTAAAATTTGGATATAAGGATGTGTTACTTTGGAAAGGAGACTCTGCTTTTGTTCCCACAGAAAGCCAGAGGCCATGGATTTGTTCCAGATTAAGATACATCAGGTTTGACCAGCCAAGACCCCCTGAAAGGTTTCCGATGACACCATGGCCCAGATGATCCAACATCCAGAATTGTTTGAAGGCAACTGGCTCAGACAATACAGCCTCATGGACTACTCCATAATCCTAAAATTTTCTTTGTACCCCCATAAGATACAGCGCCCCCCTCCAGCAGGAAGTAGTAAGAGAAGCTACGCCCAAATTTCCAAATTATATGTAATTTTACTTTGTTAAGGTTAAAACCTTCCTTTTGGAAAAAAAAAGGGTGGGGGAGTGCTGTGGGATGTTCTGTATGTCCTGTGGGAGCCCGTTCTTGGGTTCCTTGTGGCTTTACCCAGCAGGTCCGCATAGAGGATGATTAGGACCACAAGCCTGAGTACAGGTGTCTGAGATGGTCTGCACTTGGCTGTGCTGGGGGATGGTCTGTATGGCAAATGTGTTGCTCTGATTGGTCAATAAATAAAACCTGATTGGCCGTGGCTAGGCAGGAAGTATAGGCAGGACTAACAGAGAGGAGAAATAAAAGAACAGGAAAGCAGGAGTCACTGCCTGCAGCAGCCGCCAGGACAAGGAAGATGTAAAGTATCGGTAAGCCATGAGCCACGTGGCAAGGTATAGATTTGTAGAAATGGATTAATTTAAGCTATAAGAACAGTTAGCAAGAAGCCTGCCACGGCCATACAGTTTCTAAGCAATATAAGTCTCTGTGTTTACTTGGTTGGGTCTGAGTGGCTGTGGGACTGGCAGGTGACAAAGATTGGTCCTGACTGTGGGCAAGGCAGGAAAACTCAAGCTACACACACATGCATATACAAATAAAATGTACACGTTAGGTGTACTGTCATAACCATCCCCCATACAATAAGGCACACATTTTCATACATGCATGTAAAGTACATAAAACAGAGCTGCACATGAACTCATTCATGTACACATACAACCCTGTCTGGATTTCATCTCTGAGTTTACAGAGATTGAAAGAAGCCAAGAACTGTTGCAGGATATTTGATCACACTATGAACCCCAAGATTGCATTACTTACTAGGAAAAAAAAAAAAAACTGCTTCTAGCTGTGGTGTGGCTCATCCCTAGCACACACCTTTAATCCAAGAGCTTTCTGATTGAATACTGTAAACAGGATTAAATAAAATCAACCATGGGTCAAGATGTGGAGCAAGCAACCAGTTGATAAGGAAAAAACCATAGAGAGTAAGAGGAAGTCAGAGGATGTGGAGAGAGATGTATAGGAAGTAAAAGGGAGTGCCATGCGTTTGGAGGAGTTTTTTATTTCAGATGATGTAGGAGAAAACTCTTTCTGGGACAACAGCTGAGGACATTCAGCTGGGTGCTTTCTCTGCCTCTCTGAGCTAGCAGGTTTACACTCCAGCATCTGGCTCCTGAGTCTTTATTGATAAAATATAATGATAGAGACTTAACTAAAACAACAACAACAACAAAAAACAACAACAAAAAGTCAAGGGAGGAGCCTGGCAGGAGAGTAGAGAAAAGAAAAGTTATTCTCAGGTAACTGCAGAATCCTCTTCCCTGGCCCAGTGTGCTGGCTAGTCTTATGTTAACTTGACACAAACTAGAGTCCCTTTAGAAGAGGGTCTTTCAGCTGAGAAAATGTCCCCACCAGGTTTGCCTGTGGGCAAGCCCATGTTGGATTTTCTCAACTATTGATGTGGGAGGGTCCAACTCATTGTGGGCAGCACCACATCTGCGCTGGTGATCTTGGGTCCTATAAAAAAGCTAGTAGAATATGCCATGAGGAGCAAATCAGTAAGCAGCACTTTTCCATGGCCCCTGAATTAGCTCCTGCCTCCAGATTTCTGTCCTACTTGAGTTCCTGCCCAGACTTCCTTCAGTGATGGACTGTTACTTGGAAGTGTGTGATAAAATAAACCCTTTCCTTGCCAAGTTGCTTTTGGTCATGGTGTCTTATCACACAGTAGAAACTGTGACTAAGACTCCCAGTTATGCCTTAAATCTCAGATAATTCTCCCTTAGTCCCAGATATAGTGGCATTCCTGCTGAGCTGCACCTGGCCTGGCTCCAGAGAGTAGCACCTAGCCCTAATCCACCTTTTGTTTAGCAGATGTCTGTCTCGGAGTTTCCCAAGGATACAAAGGCCTATCCAAAACTTGATTCAGGAAACCCAGAAAACCATGGGACCTGAGAAATTAATGAATTTGCACTTGGCATTGTATTGTTGGGAGCCCCTTTCAGGTTGTTTTGAGCATATGGAAATTAACGGGCTAAACTGTATTGGAGAGAAATAAAACTGCCCTAGGCAAAGGGTTAGTGCTTCAGTTCTTCGAGGCTGGCCCCCCTGCAGCTGTCAATAGGTCAAAAGGTCAAAAGGCTAAATGCATTCTTAAGTGCCTCTGTGTCTTCATTCCACAGACCCGAGAAAACCCACACATCCATGTAGCTACCACACAGCTACACCCAGACTTGATTCTCTAATATTTTTTTTAAATAGGGTCTTTCTATGTAGTTCTGGATGTCCTAGACATTCACTATATAGAACAGGCTGGCCTTGAAATCACAGAAATCTACCTGCCTCTGCCTCCTAAGTGCTGGAATTAAAGGTGTGCACCAATATGCCTGTCTGGCTATGATTCTCTAATAGTTTAACTGTAGTGATCTCAGACTTACACCTTTCCAGGGATTGAAATTTCACAAAGACCTGAGCTCAGAGTATGAGTTCTCTAATGCCCTCTTGACTTTTTCTGCTTATGGAGACAAACTTTATTACACCAGGAAGCTAAATATATAAAGTATATATTTATATATATAAATAAATAAAGTAGAAACAAAAAACATGGAAGGGATTTGTGTGGGAAAGAACAGAGAGACATCCTTTGATCACCCAAGGAACTGCTTTTTCATTGTTGTTTGTTTTTATAGCTCATTTCAAATCATGTAAATGGGAATTTGTAGTAGTGGATGCATGCCCTAATCCCAGCACTCAGAAGGTCGTAGAGGCAAGCAGGGCAGCCTGGTCTACAGAACAAGTTCCAGGACAACCAGGGATACACAGAGAAATCTTGTCTTGAAAAAAAAAAGAAAAGAAAAGAAAAAAGAAAGTGGGGCTAATCATTTTATACTCTTGAATTTAGAAAAATCAGGGCTGGCCGGGCGGTGGTGGCGCACGCCTTTAATCCCAGCACTCGGGAGGCAGAGCCAGGCGGATCTCCGTGAGTTCGAGGCCAGCCTGGGCTACCAAGTGAGTCCCAGGAAAGGCGCAAAGCTACACAGAGAAACCCTGTC